TTCCTACTTTAAATCCTAACCCTGGGAGTGGCTTTTTATTTTGTTTTGTTTTATTGAGATAAGTAAGATCTCACTATATAGCCCAGGCTAAACTCAAACTTATGGTCTTCCTACCTCAGCCTCCCAAGTATTAGAATTACAGGTGTCACTTGCCTTGTGCAGGTCCCAGAAGTGGCTTCTAATGTCCTATAGCACATTGGGGTAACTATGGTCAATAATTAATTACATATTTTAAAATAGCTAATCGAGAAGATTTTGAATGTTCCCAGCACAAAGAAATGATAAATGTCTGAGGTAAAAGATATAACATTTACTTGATCCAATCATTATACAATGTATGCATGCCTTGAAAAGCCACACAGTGCCCCATAAATGTTAATGACTACAATGTGTTAATTAAAAATATTAACAACTTAAAAAGATTAAAAAAAAAAAACAAATCCTGTTTTAAGACCCATGCCACTTCCTTCAGGAAGCTCTCCTGGATTTCCTGAAGGAGTAGGTCCACTTTTTCCTCTGGATGTCCCCAACAGTATTACTCTTTTAATAGTTATAATCTGCTTTGTTCCATCCTAGATTGTAAGCACCAAGAGGGCAAGATTTGTATCCATCTCATCTTTGTATCCCTCTTTATTCCTCTCCCTTTGCATGGAACAGATCAGCGCATATTTCTTGACTTGAATGAAATACAGCCTGTAGTTGGACTGTTGAGATGGGAGGAGGTAGAAATGGGGTGTTCTAGGACTTCAGGAGACTGCAGAAGTCTGCACAGTGTGGGGGGAGCAGGTGAAGATTACAGAGAAGCCATGGGAATCTGGGCCTCCTTAGAACCTGACCAGGGAAGAGATGTGCTTTCCTAAAGAGAAGGGCCTTGGAGATGTGGTGGGTTGAGGAGGAAGGGAACCAGGTGTGGGAATGACTCTAGGTTGCCTTTAGCATCCTTAATGACAGGTGAAAAAAAAGTTAAGAACCCAGAGTCTTAGGTTCTGGCTGTACCTTCTTCATGCTCTACTTGTAAAGCTTGGGACAAGCTACAAATGGGCCTATTTGCCTGTAAGGTAAGGGATTAGACACCTGGCATCCTGGGGCCTCTTCAGCTCTGCTTTTCCGCAGCCATGTCAACTTGTTATAGGGTTTGTCTCTGTCCCTCCCCAAGACCCAGCAGCAGGCATGACCCCACTCTGGTCCTGGACTATGTTTTTCAGAAAAGAGGACAGAGCCTGAAGGCATGGGGAAGGAGACATGTGGCTTGGCTAAGCTGTGCCCTGGCTTGGAGAATGTGAAGGGAGTGGCAGGCAGAGGCACTATCTCCAGTTCGGAACAAGTCATCAGGTGTCAGGGAATGGTTTTAGGCAATCTCCCTTTCCTCTACTATCTTTCTATCTTCTTCCATGCCCCATCCCTAGTCCAAGTAAGTGTAGATTCAGGTTTGAATCCCAGTAACTCAACTAGGTGGCTCTGAGGCACCCACTTAACCTCTCTGAGCCTCAGTTTTCCCATTTGTAAATGGAGTTATTTAAATCAAACCAGAAGATGGGTAAGACAGCTCGTGGGAAAATGTCTCCTACTATGCGTACTGCTAGATTTTCCTTCCTGAGCTGGGAAAAGGAGAATTGGTATTTATTGTCACCAGGCCCTGGGGCAAATGGTGAATATTGCTTTGTCAGGGCATTGGGTGTGGGGTGGGACATATGGAGGAACAGGCTTCGATGCAGAGGTTGAATAGGAAGAACAGATAGAGAGATACTGCTCAAATTGTCCCTGATGGCCATTCAGCCTGTGGATCTATGTATTGTATTGTTAAGCACCCAGAAGCTGCCTGGAATTTTTCTTCGGGGGTCCGGGGGGTCCAGATTGAGCCTGGTTGATGGATAGGGAGCAGGCAGCATGGCCCAGCCTGCACATGCACTGTGGATGTTCCTGCCTTTCTTTGAGCCTGGTTCATCCAAGGCCCCCAGTTTCTAATCTGGTTGGGAAGGATTTATTTTTGGGTCCTTGTAACCTAGCAATGGGCTCACATGACCAGTGGCAGCTGCAGGCTGAATATACCGTTGGATCTCTGCTCCTGGCAGGGGGTGTGGGCCAGACTGTGGGGGAATAAAGGGAACGGAAAGGCTCTCACCTCTGCTTTCCTCTGCCTCCTTCCCAGCCTCTCAGCCTGGCCTCAGATGGGGGTGGAGGGGTGGGTTCCTGGGTAGCAGGCACAGCTGGTATCAGTGAAGTGGGGACTCTGAACAGTTGGGGACTGGGCTACAGGAGTGAGGCTAGGAGTCTGCTCTCTGGGTGGGGAGGATTGGGTGTCAGTGGGGACTGACATCTTGAGGGGAGGCCTGGCTGGGGAGTAGGAGGCTAAATAGGCAGTTTATGGTGTGGGATTTCAGGGACACCCCTTGCTAAGGCTGGAATCCCAGCATTTTGCCTCTTCTCTTTGTTTCCTGTTAAATTGTTAATATTCTTGGGAGAGAGAACGCGTTAAGCGGCTATCAGTGCAAATGAATTTATCAATGTCTTTCCTGAGAACAGGTTTTGACAGAAGCAGAGAGAGCAGAGGAGGGCAGTAGGTGCCACTAAGCAGATAGGAGCTCTAAAGAGAGAGCTATGGGCACCTAGAATACATTCATATCACATGTGCTAATAAATAGATGCATGGAATAAATAGATGGATGAAAGATAACCTTGATCAGCTTCAGGGTCTCTTCTTGGCCAGGAGACAGGTGAACCAAGCCTTGTCAAGAGGTGCTTGTGGGCAAGGGTGGGGTGTGGCTATCCCAAGGAGTAAGTCTAGAATGGTGAGATCAGTCCTCAGAGCCAAGGGTCCCACCATGCACTAAGGAGAAGGGCACCACTGTTGGGAGGAAGTCCGGTTTCCATTTTATATCAGGGGACCTGGGTGTGGGTGGTGGACTATAGACTGCTAGTAAGGTTGAGAGGCTATATACAGTATCTGTACCTTGGCCTTTTCACCTTCTCCATTGTAATAAACTCTAAGAGGAGAGATTGGCATTGTGGGGTAGCAGATATGATATCAATACTCCAAACTTTGATTGAGATAATTTATTGAGATATACCCTCTCCAGAGTGGGCCTCGAAAACCATCATCATCATCATGTTTGGTCACTACTATTACCAGCTGCCCTTGGGCTTGCATAGACAGTCACCCTACCCGCTTGCCCCTGCTTCCATATCGCTCTCTTTGTCTGTTTCTCCATCGAACCAAGATGACTTCCAGCACCTGGAAGGTGCTGTAGAATCCACTGCTTCCTTGATACCATCTTCACCAATGGCTGTCTGGGAGAGGCCTCATGACCTTGCCACTGGCCAGCACACCAGCTTTTTGGCCAGGTGTGGTAACTGGCAACTGTACTAGCTCTCCTGAGCCTGAGAAGCAGGCTATGTTGGCATCATAATTCCATATCCCTTTTATATAAGCTGGAATGTGAAGAATTTTGCCTATTTTATACATACAACAACTAACATAGCCAATTCACAGGTCAAGTTCTTACCACCAACCAGTAGGGTAGAGCCAAACTAGAACCAAAGTTTTCTGATCCCAGTCTAGTGTTGTTTCTATAAACTTGTACCAAAGAGCCCATGTCTGTTCTTATCCTCTCTGAACCCTCTAGAAGGGGGCCATGGCAGTCTGGGCTCCTGCTCGGTGTCACATCGGGACTCTAGAGAGGGTAGAGCAGATACTTTGATTCAAACAGACTCAGGTTCGAATATTGGTTCTGGTCATTCTTGATCTGGGGAAAGTTATCTCACCTTTGACAACTTCCTCATCTGTAAACTAGGTAGATAACGACAGCTCAAAGATTGGTGTAAGGATTGAAAATACTACATGTGGAGGGCCTGATACTCATTAGGGCTTAAGAAATGGTGTCTGGTGATAGCAGAACTCACTGTATGGGTGATTTTGGGGTGGATCAGCAGCTTCTTTGTTGTTGATGTGGGGTCTGGGACAGCCAACCTGTCCTTCTGAGTTCTCTGGGTACTGATCTACGTCTCTTTGGGTTGGGTTTAAGAAACAGTTTTAGGCCAGGGATTTAGCTCAGTGGTTCTGCTGCCTGCCTTGCAAGTGCAAGGACCGAGTTTCATCCCCGGTACCAAAACAAAATAAATAAATACAAATAAAATGAAAGAAACAGTTTTATAATTCCCTTTTCTCTTTGGAGATAGAGGAGTTCTTAGACAAGTCCCAGAGCAGAAGGCTCTGGATCAGGTATTGTGTCTGATTCTCTGTCTAGGTTCATGGCTTTTCCATGGTGAGCTGTATGACTTTGAGCCATTTCATCTCAGAAATGAGGGTTCTATGGCCTGGAGAATGCCCTGCAGCTCTGCCATTGAGGATCCTATCCTTGGTAACAGTCGTGTACCTGTTGAACTGACCATTTTCTTCACCTCTAGTAGAAGGCTATTCCCCTCATCTCATCTTCAAAGCCCAACCCACGAATGAGTGATGCTTCATAGATGATGCTCCTTAGCTGTGTCTAGTTGTACAAAGAAAGCCACACCAGCGGAGCCTTCCTAAGTGCTCTGCCTTCAGGGAGCATTGTTGTTGAGGTGCATAGCGGAGCTCAGAGACATGTTAGACGCCCGTCTCCATTAGCACTCACACCTGCATTGCAAATACACATTCAATTTAAGAAAATAGTAGTCATGCACTTGGGGATGGGGAGTGAAGGGTCAAGATAAGACGTTCAGCTCTCCTTCAAACTGTTACCTTCCAATCTGTTTTCTATGCAAATATGACAGCTTCCAAAGAAATCAAATCTTGAGCATTCCCTGGAGCTCAAACCTCCCCTGGTCTATCCTTGGGGCTCTGTGTCTATACTGACTTGCTTGCTGCAGAAGCAACTTGGTCCTGATGTCACACAGAATGCTGCAGTGACAGGACTGTCAGGGACCTTGGGGTCATCTCTCCTACAATCCCTTTGAACAGATAAGAAACCAAAAGACTGAATCTGAATTTTCTGATTTTAAGTGCTCTTTTTCTTCATTAGACTGATCAAAAGGTCTCCCCTGCCTATCAACACCTGGCCACAGGAAACTTTTGAAATGCAGTCTAGCAACCTGAGAAAAGTGAGAGAAGAGGCTCACACATGAGCACTTTGCCTGGGGTACTAGTGTCCAGCTGTTTGCTCCAAAAGTGGCTCCAAGGGGCTGAGTGGGAAGCAGGAGGCCATTAGGACCCAGAAGCTCTTGGAGCATCCTGCTCCGCCGGCTGCCTCTCACTGCTCACTGCAGTGGTTCAGGCTTCAGCAGCCTTGGAAAAGCATCAGCTGAGAGGAGATATCACATGGGAGCCAGGAGCTGCTCAGCAAAGGTAGGAGTTGCCGACTAGGCCAGGAATGGGGGACAGAACCAGGGCCTGGTGGTGAGTGCTGTGGTGCCCTACAGAAGGGCTGCATTCCAAGGAACAGCTCACTATATACCCTATGGTGAGCAGTTTTGGCAGGGGACGGACTCCCAGGTATCCCAAAGGCAGTACTGGGGTATGGGCATATCTGAAGCCTAGAGATGGGGGTCAATCATCTCCTGCCGGCAGGAATAGCCACATCTTGCAACAGTGTGTTCCATCTGTCTGGCTCCATGTCATAGAGATGGGTCCCCCACATCCTAGGAATGGGTCCTTCAGCATCCAGGCTGATGGCCAACCATGTCCTGGGCACGGGCAACTCTGCTGAGGAGAGGTGTTGAAGCTCTCTAGAAATCTCCCCTGGCTCAGGAGGGGGCACACTCTTGCCTGAAGGAAGGCTGGGCTCTGATCTTTGGGATGGAAGCTCTGTATCTGAGACACAGGTGCATGTGAATTCCAGAAACACCTCAATGGCCTTTGGCTGGGCACTTATGTGCATTCAGCATCCTGAAACAAGGATATATGTAATTTGACAATGACCCTGGTAGAGGCCAGACCTGTGATGACAAACCCTTTCAGTACTAAGGAGGTCCTGGAGGTGAGGGGGGTGGTGTTGGAAGGAAACAGTGGGAGGATGAGAGCGCTGCTGGGGTAGAAGCATGATGACATGAGCTAGAAGAGGAGTAAGGCTCTCTGGGTTTCCTCTGTGAAACTGTTACACCATGGCCCTCCCGTCTATACCCCGATCAGTCAGCGAAGGGGGAGTGCCCAGGAGTCAGGTATATTTGTCTGTCTCTAAGGAGTAGATTGAAGTCCTGGAATTTAGGAGTCATTGTGAAATACTGGCAAGACTGAGGGGCCTGTGAGAAAGAGAAATGTCCATGCTCTCTTGCCTAGGGCTCCATCGTGGCTTCACAGCACCCCTCCACATGGAAACCATGTCTTCTCCCCTCACTCTGAGATCTTATCTGGGCCTTGCTGGCTATCCACACACATTAGGCCTTTCCTTATTAGGAACTCAGAGCCACATCTTTTGGTCCCCACTTGCAGGTAGGAGGAATGGGCAAATCATGGCATGAAAAGTAAGGGACATGTATGCTTTCTTTGGTATTTCTGCCAGGCATTTTTCTTGATAAACTTTTATGAGAAGCTGATGTCTCCGCTTTTGTGCCTTTTCTTCATCTCTGCAGACCCTGAGTATATGTGGCCACCTCAACTGTGAAATGAACTTTCTACTATTCCTGGAGAGAGACATGTCTCCAGGAACTCATCCAAAGTCAGGGTGGTCTCCAGTCTTGGAGTCTGAGTTATCCTTTCCAGAAGAGAGTTCCCTGGCTGGCACACAGATGACTGATTGAATATTCTTGGAGTATGTATTAGTGGGCAGGGATTCAACTAATCAATTTGAGTCTGATTCAATTAAAAAAATTCCACCGAGTACCTATTGCATGTATGGCATGTTAGAATTTGTATGAATCAAGATTTATGGTAGCACCAAAACCTCACTGATTGTAAGATTACGGTGGAGGAAAGTAGGCCCTGGTAGCTGTATAGTCTGCCTCATTGCAGTCATAGAAATGCTGTTTTAAAATTGAGCAACCACCAGGCTCTGTGTAGCCCCAAAATTCACAGAGTAATGAAACGTTACGTGTAGGAACCTTGGTGGTTGTTCAGTCCCAACTCTCCTATTTCACAGATGAGGAAATTGTGGCCCAGAGAACTTTGGTTATCAGATTTGACACGTCTGCAATTTGCTTCTGAATTGTATAACTAGGCACACTAGATTGAAGGAATTTGCACCGCAAGAATGGCATATGTAAATGAAAACAATTTTGTTTACACTGGGCAATCTATTTCAACTACATGCAAACTCAATATGGATAATGACACATATAAAACATATGTGATCTGACACTTGATCAAATGAAATGAGAGATTTTTATTTCTTCCAGTCTTCTCTGCTTTACACTTACTCAATTCCACAATCACACTCCTCTCCCCACCACTCCACTACTTGCCTTTTACATGGGCACCTATTCCCATGCCTTATCCTGTGACAATGGTACTGGTCCCGAATCAAGAGAGCCTTCAGTCAAGGAATCTCAAAGTGTCAGCACCAATCACCAGATACAGAGGGAGTGGAGAGGTTAGGAACAGCAAGCAAGGACAAGCACTGGCAAGGGCACAGTGGCCTTCAGAAGCTAAAGAGTAGATGAAGAAGGGAAGCTTTCAAGTGAATTTTGCCCTTCCAGCCTTGGGAGCCCATGAAACTGGATAGGCTGGCCTCCCAGTTTCTTTCCAGCTGGGACATTTTGCTTTCATTGATCCTTCTCAAAATTTCCAAAGTGGCAGCTCTTTATCTTAGGAGTGGTGATGTCAGAAGAAACTAAAGCTCTGTTTTCTTTACCATGTAACAGCCCTACAGTGGTGTGAGACATTTTTAGTTGCAGGTCAAATTCAACAGTGGTTTACTGGAAGCCTACTATATGCCAGCTGATGTAGAGGACACTCTCAGACACAGCATGGCACAGTGGGCAACAGAACTGCCTTGGGGTCAGACTTTCAGAGCCTGGACCTTGCCACTTATTAGCTATGTGACTTTGGCTAAATTCCTTAACTTCTCTAGGACTCAGCTTCATCCCTGGCAAAAATGGAGATAAGAATAATATCTACTTCATAGGGTTGTGTGAGGATTAAAATGACTTTATTTTTGTTGAGTGCTTAGAACAGGGTATAGCATGTGGAAAGTACCATGTAAACATTATTGCTTGTGGTTAGTACTGCTATTAACAAATCACACTGGATTCTGCAAATGCAATTATGAAGCAGATACTATTTCCTTATTTTACAGATGTCTTTTTGAGAAACTGGAATCTGGAAGAGTGGCAGAGTTAGTAATGTCCAGAGCTGGGACCAGAAGCCAAACTTGTGCTACTTCTACTTCCCATCCAAAGAATACCAGAAATTGGAAAAGTCACACAGGCAACTTTAAAGCTGGGACACAGTCCCAGAGCTCAGCAAGACCCTGGGAAAAGGGAGACATAGAATTTATAATCCCTGAATAGCAGCCCTTGAAAGAGGAGAAGGATATGGAGAATGGAGGAAAGAAAGTGGAAAAAGAGGAGCCAGAGACCACTCACAAGGTGGAATGCTGCTGAGCAGACAAGGCTCCATTGCTCTCATGTCCCTGTTTCTTCCCAGTCACCAAGCCTGACCCTGGAGCCACCTCCTGTCAGAAAGAGCATGAGAGCTCTGAGCCCATGGCTAACTAGCCTGGTGCTCTGCCCATAGAGGACCCCAGCCTTCAAGGGTGGTGATAAGAGCCTGTCCAAAAGACTCCAGTGGAAGTCCCCCCACGCATTGGGAAGCCTGGGCCTGGGCTCACCATCCTAGGGTTGTGGACTAGGATGGGGGATGGGCCTGTGACAGGAGGTGCCCTGGGTGTCCTCTTTCAGCCCCATGGAGTCTTCACCAATCCTCCAGTCATCAGGGAACTCTTCCATTTTGGGGAGGGTTCCTCAAGCTCCAGACCCCTCCACTGCCAGTGGCGTCCCAGAGGTGGGCCTGCGGGACATAGCTTCAGAATCCGTGGCCCTGTTCTTCATGCTCCTGCTGGACTTAACTGCTGTGGCTGGCAATGCTGCTGTGATGGCCGTCATCGCCAAGACTCCTGCCCTCCGAAAATTTGTCTTTGTCTTCCACCTCTGCCTGGTGGACCTGCTGGCTGCCCTGACCCTTATGCCCCTGGCCATGCTCTCCAGCTCTGCCCTCTTTGACCATGCCCTCTTTGGAGAGGTGGCCTGCCGCCTCTACTTGTTCCTGAGTGTGTGCTTTGTCAGCCTGGCCATCCTATCTGTGTCGGCCATCAATGTAGAGCGCTATTATTACGTGGTTCACCCTATGCGCTACGAGGTGCGCATGACACTGGGTTTAGTAGCCTCTGTGCTGGTGGGTGTGTGGGTGAAGGCCCTGGCCATGGCTTCTGTGCCAGTGTTGGGAAGGATCTCCTGGGAAGAAGGAGCTCCCAGTGTTCCCCCAGGCTGTTCACTCCAATGGAGCCATAGTGCCTACTGCCAGCTTTTTGTTGTGGTCTTTGCCGTCCTTTATTTTTTGTTGCCCTTGCTCCTTATCCTTGTGGTCTACTGCAGCATGTTCCGAGTGGCTCGTGTTGCTGCCATGCAGCATGGGCCACTGCCCACATGGATGGAGACACCCCGACAGCGCTCTGAGTCTCTCAGTAGCCGATCCACTATGGTCACCAGCTCTGGGGCCCCACAGACCACTCCACACCGGACGTTTGGAGGAGGGAAGGCAGCAGTGGTCCTCTTGGCTGTGGGGGGACAGTTCCTGCTCTGTTGGTTGCCCTACTTCTCTTTCCATCTCTATGTTGCCCTGAGTGCTCAGCCTATTTCAACTGGACAGGTGGAGAGTGTGGTGACCTGGATTGGTTACTTTTGCTTCACTTCTAACCCTTTCTTCTACGGATGCCTCAACCGGCAGATCCGGGGGGAACTCAGCAAGCAGTTTGTTTGTTTCTTCAAGACTGCTCCAGAGGAGGAGCTGAGACTGCCTAGCAGAGAGGGCTCCATTGAGGAGAACTTCCTACAGTTCCTTCAGGGGACAGGCTGTCCTGCAGAGAACTGGGTTTCCAGGCCTCCACCCAGCCCTAAGCAGGAGCCACCTGCTGTTGACTTTCGAATCCCAGGCCAGATAGCTGAAGAGACCTCTGAATTCCTGGAGCAGCAACTCACCAATGACATCATCATGTCGGACAGCTACCTCCATCCTGCCCCCTCACCCCGACTGGAGTCATGATGGGCTGTTGGACACTTGGAGGGAGACGGATTTGAGAGACAGTTATGATTGCAAAGAGCACCTTGTGGGACCACTTTTTCCAGCTGGCTGGGTCTGGGTCTGGGGTCTCCACACAGCTTTAGCTTAGCATTGCCTGGGTCAGGACCAGAGCCAACAGGATGGACATGTGGCAAAAGCTTTTGACTTGGCTGATCTTTAATTACTGGGGGAGGGAACCTGGGTATGATGAAACGGTGATGAGAGAAAAGGGTCACAAAGGTGAGGTGAAGCCTATCAGTCCATGAAATGTCCATGCCTCAGGAAATAAGGAAATTCTCTAAGGGTCGGAGTTGGAGGATTAGGGCAGCAGGCCAGGTTTGGAGTTATTTCTGGGGACCACTGAGGACGTTTTGTTGTTCAGTATAAATTTCCAGGGCAATTATTGCACCCAAGCAAGGTAAGAAAATGACATGTGTCTTGTTATTTCCTTACTAGGTTTAAAAAAGAATTAAATTGCAGTCAAGTGTTTCCTTATGAGTTAATAGATCTTTTTCTAGTTTTATACCTGAAATTTCCTTAAATGGAGAGGACCGGCAGGATATACTCTTCCTAGGTTTGGCCAGAAGCAAAGGGGGCTAGTAATTAGGGTACCTGTAATAGAAGACAGGAAAGGTGACTGAAATTCTGTTACACACAATCTTCAGGAAAATCCCTTCTATTGTTCTCTGTTTGCATGTAGGAAATCAAGTGTGGGGCTTGATCTCAGCAGAGACAAAGGATGGCCCTTTCTCCCCGTCTTTTAGGATGACTAACCAGAACAATTGAGGGTTGGATAGCTGAGGGTGAAGGTTAGCATTTGAATTGGTAAGGTGGCTTTATACAAAGAGCTCACATAAATCACTCTGATCAATAACCCTAAAAATCTTTTTTTTCCAGGACTGGCCTCCTTGATCTCTCTCCTCATGGCAGTGACCCATCTCAAGCCCCCTGGACAGTCGGGTACAAGAGACCAAGGTTGGGCATGGGAAGGGTGGGGTTTCCATGGTCCATTAAATTCCCCCTTGCTCCCATTCATTGCTCTCAAAATTAGCTTCAGTGATAAAGACTTAAATCTCTTTCTTATCTGTAGCCCTGGGTTGGAGAGAGGGCATAGGAGTTGGGCTCAGCTGTTTACTGATTGAGACTTTAGGAACCATGTTGAGTGGTACTGGTAGTGGCATTTTCTTTCTTTTTTGTTGAGATGGGGTCTCACTATATAGTTCAGGCTGGCTTTGAATTCACTATGTAGCCTAGGTGGGCCTCAAACTCACAATGATCCTCCTGCTTCAGCCTCTCAAGTGCTGGGATTACAGAAGTGCACCTACACTACCGGCTGGTAGTGATATTTTCATTGGAGAGGGAATAATTACAAACTGGACAGGACACCTTTATGGGACCATGTGTCCATCTCACTTCCCTCAATTGAATCAAGTAACACAAAAGGGCCAAGGCAGGGCCAGGGGGTGGTATGGTCTACATTTGAACAGATTTTTTTGTTTTGTTTTGTTTTTTGAGACAGAGTCTCACTATGTAGTTGAGGCTGACCTGGAACTCACTATGTAGCTCAGGCTGGTCTCGAACTCACAGTGATCCTCCTGCCTTGCCTCCCGAGTGCTGGGATTACAGGCGTGCACCACCACACCCCGCTTTTGAACAGATTATTGATTCACTGAGCATCAAAGGAGGAAAATGGGCTGCTGGGAGTGGAATAGTTTCCCCTTTGAATAGCCAATAAATTTTTTATGATAAAGTTATACTGATATCAACATTGACTCCTTCAGTTCAATTCAGTGCATCATAGTTGAATGTCCATTATTCCCTGGAACCCACACAAAGGATGTGTGATTACTGCCTTCAAGGAGTTCATAGCCTAATTTGATCAGATACTTAGTATTTTTATAGAGCATTTAGATCTGATAAAGCACTGTATAATGTGTTTAAGAAATATATTGGAGAATATATATCCATGGTTCTAGCTTCTGAGAGTTCATCTCAGTGATACATAGAGGCTTCTGAAGATTGTGGCAAGTATAGGGGTTGTACATGAAATTTATTAAATGAAACTGGGCAGTCTTTTCCCTTTTGAACTGGAAACATTTCCAAGTTTCTGTCTTCCTACCACTAGTTTAGTGCCTATTACGTTGAAGAAATTCCTTAGAACGTATAAATAGCAAGGAAAGTCTTTTGTGATAAAAAAAAAACACCTCTGTTTTAACAATTTCAGTAGATAGGGGAGAAACTTCTTTGAAACACCTCTAATCAACTAGAGGACCTAAGGCATCGCCAGCAGATGGCAGTGTGACTCCATTGGAAATAGGTTTGCATATGTGGGAGAAAAAGGGAGGGCAACAAACTGCTTGGCAGCCATTTTGTTAATTTATCTTTTTTTTTTTTTTTTTTGACATTGCCTTTTAACTGTTCCTTCGCATAAATCAAAGAAAAATGTTTTAAGTGTAAGAATAGCTCTAATTCAGGCTGAGCTTACTTGACACTGTGATCTCACTGTCATTTACTAGAGTTCAACATATATGGATTCCTTTGGCCGTTTATTTTTCCCTGTAGGAATGCATCATGAAGGAAATAAAATTTTAATTATTAAATTTATTAGTATACTTTAGGTATACAATCAGAAATAAAAGTTTTATGATGAGAACTTTCCCTAAAATTGCTGCTATGAGCACTTTACAGAGTTTTTAGGTAATCAGGATGGCTTGATAAAGTTCATCATATAATCCTTAGCTTTGAAAAATATACCTGAACAAAAGCCAATCTCCCTAATACACCGAAGAATCAGCAGGTGGAGGCAACCATACTGCCAGTTACTTTTTCCTGCATCCTGGTGGTAGTGGGGTGGTTTGCCATCCTTGATGAAAACCATAGATTTTCTGTTATCAGGTGCCCTAGGCAACAACTTTTAGGAGGCCTGGTTAAAAAAAAGGTGGGGTGGGGAATGAATTTGTAGTCGACTGGTCTACCTACTCACTGTGTGAACTTGGGAAAGCTGCTTAACTTCTCTGAGCCTATTTCCTCATCTGTAAAAATGGGGATCATTATTACCTACCTCACAGGGTTGTTGTGAGGATTAAGAAATGAGACTTGGAAGCGCCTAGCGATATTTGGCAAATAGGTACTCAATAAATACTGGTTTTTCTTCCCTTTGCTCTTGCCCTTTTTACCCCAGAAGTACCAGTAGTGGAGATGCAGTACCTTTTCTGTTAGTAATTTGGAAATGAGTGGAAGACTTTTCAAACTTTGAAGAATTGGCATTTATTGATAAATTTAAGGTTGACAGGCTGCTTAAGGTGGATCTAACCTCTAATTGCTTCTAATTAACCAATCACTATATAGACCTTTCTGTTTGGGCTTTAGATCCTCTTAGGGAAATAAGGTATATTTTCAATGTAGGGAAAAGTTTTAAGGGTGGCAAAATCATCCCTTTCCCTACAATGTATAGTAATTGTGGAGCTATTTGACAGAAATGGTAATTTAGGGCCATTTTCAACAGTAGTTCAGGGTTATCAGTTAAAGAAAACACCAGTATGGGCCTTTTACAGGGTATTTAATAACTTTCAGATGATACGAGAGTGAGACAATTTTTTAGAACTTTGTGTGGTTATCACAATAGGACATTTTCATAGTAGATTCAAATAATGTAGTTTTGTTTCTGACGGTACAGTGTAAGTTGACTTATCTTGGTAGAGGTCCGAAGCTCCTAATGTAGGACAATTCGGTTTATACTACAGATGGGCACCATGGAAATTTTATGAACTACACACTTACCTTTCAGATCTACTAGCAATTTCAAAGCGGCCCTTTGCCAGAAAAGGTGCTGAGTAAATCTTAAGTCCACAGAAAAGCACACATAGTAGCACAAAGACCAGTATATATTTTCAGCGCAGGAGACAGTGGGTCAGAGAAGAGGGCTAGTCTTAGGCATGATCGGTACAGATCTAAGAAGCAGTATATAGAGCTCAAATTGGTCAGTGTGTTCCCATCCATAGATCAGTGAAACAATTTAGGTAGTTGGGGAGGTGCCCTGGGTCTCTACAACCGGAGATCCAAGAGGTTTTCTGGCCAGTGAGAATGCCCCAGTAGAAATTGTCGTTGGGATTTTGGGCTCTTATTTGGGAATCCCATGTCCTATCCCACAACCCGCTGTACGACCTCAGGAGCGCACTACGAATTGGAAGTCCTGGTTTTGCTACATTTATCCCAATCACGTAGCCGAGTCGGTAAAGAGGTATTAAGGTTGGCTGGTGCACAAAGAACCCGACAGAATCTCTAAACTCCGCGGAACCACCGCACCTAGGGCCACTTCCGCTTTCAGTCTCGTCTCCTCTCCTAGAGCAAGAATAGTTTAAACGGTAACGGCCGCCGGGCGTCACCGGAAGTGTCGTAAACGCCGGACGTCCGGTTCCTGTGGGCGCTAGGTTGCTGACGGAGAGGGCCGCCGCCCCGCAGTAGACGCAGTCTCAGCTAGCGAAGCTGCGGTCCCCGCGGTGTGTGAGTGAGCTCGGGCCTAGTTCCCTCTCCCGCCGCCGTCATGGGCTGCACACTAAGCGCCGAAGACAAGGCGGCGGTGGAGCGGAGTAAGATGATCGACCGCAATTTGCGGGAGGACGGGGAGAAAGCGGCCAAAGAAGTGAAGCTGCTGTTACTCGGTGAGGGGCTGGGGGCGGGGCTGGAGCGGTGGTCGGGGTGCCTAGCACTTTCAAAGCGTGAGCAGAATCTGGCCGGGGCCGCGGAAAGGACCCTAAAAGGGATCGGGAGGGCGTGCCGGCTACGAGGCTGGTTGTTGGGGTTGGTGGCTGAGGCCGCGGAGGGCGTGATGAGGGGGTGGGATTTTGAGAGTGTAGGAATTAGCATGGAGAGGGTGTAACTCCGGGCTGATTAAGCGTTTAGCCAAGAGAGTTTTTAGTATGGAAGGAACAGGCGGTGCTGTATTAGGGAAGGTTTTACATTGTGTTGGAACTTGTTAATTAAAAGGAAGACGCGAGAGTATGTGATGGGTTTGTATAATGGTTTGTGGGTTTGAGCGTAATTATACTTGACAGGATAAACCTGGAAGGCTTGAATGGTTAAATAGAGAGGCTGAGGCAGAGTGGTCACATAAAGACCCTGTCATTTGTTAGAGAGTGAACATTTGGAACTGTTAGTAAGACGGAGAGGCATTATCTTGAAACATGAAGATAGGTGGTTAAGATAAGTGGCAAATTCCTAGGTATAAAGGAAAGAGCTTGGGTGTAGAGACTATTTTTCACTTTTTCTATTTTTATTTTCTTAATATTTTATAATTCCTGTGTTTATAGAAGGAAGGGGGAGAATGGTGTGTGCTGAGGCAATTCATTTGGCTTGTTTGGGGTATGTGACTGAAGAGCTGGTGGACAATAGGCTGGTTACACGTTGGAAATTGCTAGGGGTTATTTGCAGTGCGAATGGAGTTATTTTAGGATAATTGTGGAATTGGACATACATATTGTAGGACTGTAATAAACATGTAGGGAGCTGTTTTATCTTTTTGGTCATTTCAAAGCAAAAATACTGGCTTCAGGAGTACTGTATGTTACTTGATAGTCGTTTAAGTGTCTTTTATGTACAGTCAGATGCATTTTACTTAGCATGATTTAGTTTACACTTTTTGAGAGGTTTAGTAAATCTCTGGCATCAGTTTACCTATAAAATTAAATCACGTTTCTTGTTGAGAGATCTGTTAGAGAAGAATAAGTAGAAGTCACGGTTTCTGTAAGGAATAGAGTTTGAGTTTTTAAAACAATTCATTTTTAAGGAAAAGGAGTCATTTTGAAGGAAGTGCCAGATTTTCATGGTGTAAAGCTCCAGAGGACTAAATACACTATGTCATTGTAACCTAAGACTTATTTTGTACTCCAGGATGTGCTGGAGTCTCGTTGTTGAAGATTGTTGAAGTTCTAGTGACAGATTTTTTTGGATATAGAGTAAGTGTTATTCATTAGAGC